ACTTTAACTGTAGTTGCTAATGTGGCTATATTAAATTAATTAAATACAGTAGAATTTCAATGTAAAATATTTCTATTATTGCTTCGAAATAAAAAATGTGACATCGACATCGTAATAAAAATTTAAGTAATGTTTCTTTCGTGACAATAATAAATAATAAAGCAAAAATCATACCTTTTTCAAAATAAATCCCTAAAACGATGTTAGTAGTAAGTACCTATTAGTTTTTATTCAGTAAAACCGCCATATTGAAAAGCACCCCTTATAGTCCAATGAATCTGTCACGGCCTAATGTTAAATTTACAAAAAATACCACCTGGAAACAAAAAATATGGTGATATGGGAAAAAAATTCTAAGATCGTATTTTTTGAAACTTGAACTCCAATTGAAAAAAGTTAAATGAGAATGTTGTAGCTATTAAAAAACCTATCGATTAGTATTTTTAAATAATATCGATTGCTATATTACTTTTCGAGATATATCGAAAAAACCGTAAAAAATTTACTTTTTTTTTGTTTTTGCTGTATCTCATGCAAATTAAGATTTTGAAACTTGCTACTTGCTGTAAATGTAGCCCTCGGCAAGCAAAATAGTCCCCTTTTTTTAAATTAAAAAATATTAAAAGTTACATCGATTTTTCGAAAAAAAAGGTCATCTCGAAAATCGGCTCTTCTTGCACAACGAATAGTCGTAGAGAAACGAATCAGGAAACCAATAAAAATGTTAAAATAATTTTGAAACAGTCTGTATATTTTTCCAAACCAAGTTTTTATGTCTGCATTTCGAATAAATCGTAAAACGTAAATCACTTAACTGTGCCGTCCCATATTTAAAGATATTTTTAAGTGAAAATAAAATACTCCCCGACGTCGGAACTTCAATGGGTTTAAAAGCCCCAATAATTTATCTTAAGAGCATTGTACCATGTACAGCATCTGTATTTTCAAATTTATATCATCAATTTAGCTGGATTTTGTTTACAGTTCTAATCTGATTTAAGGAAATTAGTACGCAATTAATCCTGTATTTATGAGTCTCATTTGCAGCGAAAGTGAAAGATAAATTTAATTTGGATCATGTGCTCTAAAAATATCAGAATCATATTCCAGTATTATTTTTACATTTAAAATATTTGATTTATGCTTTTCGAATTTACTAATACCTAGTCATAAGCAAATGATTATACCCATACTTTTTCTTTTCAAATTCTTTTCATTTCTATCTGATATTAACAAATTTCACATTTTTATTTATAACATTTGTCCAATCTTCAACGCTCTTGCATAAACTCAAAAAAATGTATTACTTCTATATTATTTTAAAACTATTTCTTCTTTATATTAATGAAACAAACGTCTACAAAATTACTTATTTTTAACTTGCTATAGTCTAAATAAGTTATTGTGTAATTATGTATTTTGTTTTAAATGCTTTTAAGGAAAATTGCACAGCATTATTACATTTACGAAAACATGATTTAAATGCCAACTTTATCTACTTTTATATTTTTATTAAAAAAATTGTTGTTCTCATGTCTTTTCAATGACTTCAGTCTTATTTTATCAAGTAAAGTTACTCTTTGTTTTTTTTTGGGGGTTTTTTTCAAAGTTGGCAGGTCTCAGCCAGTGCCAGGACAGGAGGAGGCCCCGCGAAGTGAATTAATTTCAACACTTGTGTATCCTAATTAATCATTTATGGGTGATTTATTTTTGCACTCAATATATAGTGAATTAAAAACCAAGTCTGAGTAAAAAATGATTCAATAATAGTTAAATTTAAAACATATTAGTGAAAACGTCAACTCTAAATTGGTTTTATATAATCAGAATAGAGTCGAAAGTCGCTCAATTGATAGTTAGCAGCAAAGTTAGTATAGTAACTCGAATTTGAATAAAATTCATTCATTTCTGATGCAATAGTTTCACTCAGTTGTACTCATACTAATAGAGTGAAAATTTCACTCAATCGGGTGTGGACAGAAATTGATACTTTATTGGGTGAAATTGAGTGAAATTTGAGTGAAATTTTTTTTCAATGTACACGCATATTATACAAGCATTGGTTACCACCGGATTTTCGTGAATTGTTCTTGTAGAATCATGCTCAGATGAAGCTATGTTTACAGGAAATGGCATAAATAATGCATACACCTGGGAATTTGAGAAGCCGTGTACAATTCAACGAGATTACCTCTAGCACCGTTTCTCTCTGAATGTTTGGACAGCGATTATTGACAATCAGTTAATTAGACCGTTCATATTGCCAGATCGAATTAATAGTTTATAGTATCTGAATTTCTTCGACATGATTTTCCTGGACTCTTTCAAGATGCGCCTTTATCTGTTCCAGAACAAATATAGTTCTTGCACGATGGCACGCCTTCTGATTTTCGACAAAATATTCGAGATTACCTTAGTGAAGTTCAAAAGATTGGATAAGAAGTACTGGTAGCGTGACCACAGTAGTTGCTTGACTTAAACCCTATTGATTTTCTACTAAAGTAGAAACTATTGATGACTAGTGCAGTACATTGTGCTAGGTTAGGTATTCCAAATTTTCGTAGTNATGCAGGCTTAGCGTAGAAATTTAATATTAGCAATAAAAAAATTATTTTAAGGAAGCAGATTTGGAGGGTCTATTTTAGATCCTTGAAGTTATAAATTGTTATATTTGTCGTCACTTAGTAATGCACAGGGTATTCAAAAAACTGCTGAATACTTATGTCAACTTTAAACAGCAATAACTTGGTTATTTTAAATGGAACACCCAGTATATTTTTAGTTTGGTAGTTGGGAAATTTAAAACTCTTTCAAACTGTGTATAGGTTCCCTATACCTATCTCTAACGGTATTGAGATATTTTTGTAAGATGTATCCAGATGTATCCAGTTAGTTAATTAAAAACTGAGTATAGAATGACTCTATAGTAGTTAAATTTAAATCAAAGATATTAGACAAACAGTCAACCCTAAATTGGTTTTATATACTCAGAAGAGTCAAAAGCCACTCAATTAAAACTAAGCAGTAACTCGGATTTGAGTAAAACGCACTCATTTCTGATGCAATAGTTTCACTCAGTTGTACCTGATAGGTACTAATAATAGAGTGAAAATTTCAATCAATCGGGTGTGGATAGAAATTGATACATTATATATAGTAAAATTGAGGGAAATTTGAGTGAAATTTTTTTACAGTGTATGAACCAACAATTGATGTATCACATTTTCAAAACTTAATTATATTCGAATCTACTCTTTAGGTACAGCCTAACATATTTTGCTCTGATATAGCTTAACGAGGCGCCTTAATTTCGCAAGATAAGATACTCGCCACTTTACTCTTACAAGAAGTGAATAGATAAGGCCTACATAACAATACAACTCCCTTGGAAGCTTTTTAAATTAGCCTTAAAATTTGTCACATTCATTAAGATAACTTCAAATAGATAACTAAGCAAAATGCTCTTAAAAAACATAATTTAAAATTGAAAACATCATTAAACATTTGAAATGTGAAACACTGTATAGGTATATCCATACTTTTCAAAAATATTTTGGGTTATGCAGTTTGATTAAAAAACTACGTAACCCATTTTCTCTGTGAGATTGGATATCTTTTACATGCTTACATGGTGTCGAAGAACATTGTTTGACTTTATTTGACAAGATTTTTTTTTAATTATTTATTGGATTTTGCTTTAATTGGTTTAATACCTTTAAAAAGGAGTACACACATGCGGTTTCACTTCAGTAGCGTATTGAAAACGTCATTTTAAGTACAATATTCGCAATGAACATATTAGCCAAACCTCTTCGATTTCGAGATACAATGTGTTGAAGTTTCTAAAAAAAAATCAATCGTTTTTCTGAGTATTTGAGCATAGAAGGACATTTTTTGCATATGTTAAATTTTTTTCTACAAAAATGCTAATTTTTACGTTAATAGATTTACCAGTGGCGTACTTTCTTCGTGCGTTTTACTATTGTCTTTCAAAAATAATGACACACCAATGTCTTAATGGCAATATTCCACCATTTTTAGAATCCTCTAGAATTTGAAGAAGAAAAACTATTACCTATTTAATTTTTTTCCTAGGTTTCACGGTTTTCTAGTACAATTTAATAGCTTTGTTGAATCTGCCACAATAGACGACACTGAAATTAGAATAGGCCATGGGTCCCTCTTTTGGACAAAATTAAAATTGCTGAAACAGAAACTCGATTCAAAACTAGGGTAAAATTGTCAAGTTTGGCTTACTCTGCAGACTACAATGATAAATCGGGTCGCTTTTAATAATAATTTATTAACGAGAATTTCGGGTAATGAAAAAAAATTGAATTTTTAATGAAATATGTTAACTGGACAAAACGTAAAACAAATACCTGGTTTCTAAACTAAAGAAGCTATTCAAAGTAAGACGCATTTTCTTGAATACAAACTCAGCACCGATTTATGCCGACCTTTTAATAATTGATTTAGTCGTATTTTCTGTTCCCTCAATTAATTCTTTCTGATGTCAATACAATAAATTTAATTGTTTAAAACTCTAAGCAAAAAAATCGAGAGGAGTAGTATTTCAATTTGGATACTGGTGCGACCCTGACACTAGTCTGCCACATTAGATGCATCGATTCAGATAAGTTGCATTAAGCTATTCCCGGGCTATTTATCCGTAAACAGTCGAACATCCGTCAGGATGAAACGAAGGATTTCGTCTTGAACGAAGATCAAAATCCCAGAAATCCGAGACGTCGAAAATAGGAGCGAATATATTTTGACAATTTTGACAATTTGTACACTGAAACTTATTGGAATCAGTTCTTCTAGTTTTATGCTGTTGAAATGAAACTTGATTTTGCATTGTATTTATTTGATTTTCTAAAACTTGTTGTTTTTGGTTCATATTATATTGTCAATTAAATTTTGAAATTGATTTTTGAATTTGTTATCGTTTTTACGTTGTTATTAGTAATTTGTGAAGATTGAGTTAGATTGTTCTTTCAACATTCATTCATTAAAATGAATTGATAATTTTTATAATGATCTAAAGGTTGATAAGTTTCCCATATTTTATCTGCTATTTCTAGTATATCATTAACATCTTCCTTACCAGAGGTTGTTATTGCCACCAATATGGTTTTTGGTAGACACCGTATCCATAATTTTAGTAGTAATTTATTGCGAACCGCCAACGGTCTCCCATTTCTGATCCTGATAATAATTCATCTAATCTTTTTTCTTCACTGACTGTTAATTACTTACTGACCTGTTAATTATAGTTTCTTTAATTTTGGTATATAAATTTTGTTGTGGAGGTTTTCAAATGATATCAAAAACGTTTAAAATTACTTCTAAAGGTAAATTTTAAATTACATGATTAAATTTCATTTTTTCTAACGACATTTCAGCTAATGCAAATTGTGCCTCTATTTGACTAAACCAAATTTCCGGTTTTGTTATCAAAAACGGTGGTAATTTCATAAATCATTTCATTTGTGTCATTCAGTTTGAATTATTTAAAAGTAGTTAAAAATTTAGTTTATTTTTGAAATTGGGAGTATGTTTATATTATGTATAGCAACCTTATCACAACAGTTTCTCGAAAAGAAAGAGGTTTGACCAGTATGTATATTGAGAATATTTTGCTTAAAACTACACTCTGTATACGCTATTAGAGTCATGCACATTAAAACAAGAACATCCTTCATTGAAAGGATGATTTTAAGAACCAGTATTCCGTGTACAGCTTTTATGGCATTATGAAGACATGTAAAGCTATAAAAATGTTAATTGTGCATATTCCTGTTTGAAATAATATATCAACAAAGCAATCAGTTTCTTTTTCACTATAAAACGTTATCTAAAATATTTTATAGGGACAAAAATTACGCTTTTTCAAAAGACAAGCGTAAATATTTAACATATTTCAGTCAATGTTGTTACTACGTATTTTTTCTGTAAGAAAGTACGCAAACAAGCAGTGTTGCCGCATATGACATGTAAACTATATATTGATTTCATAATATATTCAAACGTTACTATAATTAATTTTGATTCCAGCCACCACAATGGAAGGGAAACAACAACACCAGCTCGTGAGATTGGAATTAATAATTAAAGCAAATATCTCCACTGACAAGGTTGTGCATCAAAAGTGAATAGTGAATTTACCCGGTTGGAAAATGGACTGAAGTTTTAGTTTACTAAACGGTTCAAAAGTGGACAATTATTCCGGTTACTAATTGAGGAATGCTTTCATTCAGTCATGCAGGTAAGAAAATAGTTACCCATTTTTAAAATTATGAAAAATTTTAATGTTAACTACAGGGTGTTCTGTACTGATACCCTGTAACTTTATTATAGTAATTATATACAGATTTAACGTCTCTTTTTATTATATCGAGGTGTTAATTTAAAAAGAAACAATATGATCTAAGGAAATTTATCTTAAGTCTTCTTTTAAATGTGCTTAAAGATTTTAATGGTAACGAAATATTTATTACACATATTCACAAATCTTGACCAAAAATGAAACCTGGTATTCTTTGGTGAATCCTTCCTATAAAGTTTTTATCTGGGACGCTTCGTTAAAAAGATACAGGGTGTTAAACTTCAAAAAATATTTTTAATTTTTTTAAATAATTTAAAAACTAGTAAGTAAGTGATATAATTTGAAATTGAGCACATGTATTTATGTAAACATTGTCCAAAATCTGAGGGCATTTCCTAACATTTACATTCTCCATTGGCAGAGGTACAGGTTATCGGTGGCATATTTTTCTAAATAAAATAGTACACCACTGCTTTACGATAACAACTATGATCTTTTCGGATTCGCCTTTTAATTTTCTACAAATTACTACTCTTTTATGTTTTTCGAAGAAAGCCTGATTTTCGAGAAAATCTGAGAACACATTTCTATATTGGAATATACCTAATGCTTTTTAAAATTACATAGTGGGCTGCGATAACAACTTTGCCATTCTAAGCAGTTAGAAGAATAAATAATGATTTTCTTCAGATTCAAGCGACAATAAATTTCGAACAAATTACATTTTCGTTACTAAAAAAATGTCAGGCCTGTGTTCGTGGAAATAAAGGTATTTTTTACTCAAATAAAATCATTAAAATGATGACTAATATTATTAATTTCTTTATTATGGAATTACACTTTGCAGTAACTCAACCAAAGCTAGTAGAGTCTTTAGTCTACAGAAAATGTCTATACGAATAATCAGTAATGTCCCTCCTGGCACTCATTGTCAACCTATTTTTAAAAAATTGAAAATTCTTCCTTTGTCTTGTATCTTTATTTTACAAACTTTGTTGTGCATTCACCGTAACAAGAAATCATTTACTCGTCATAGTGAAATTCACGCTTACAACACAGGGCATGCTGATAGATTAATACCGCAGTTTTCAAGAATCAATATGTCAAAGATGAATAAACCGAAAGTAGATATATAATAAGTACCTTTGTTAATTACTATGCAACTAAAAATGTTACGCAAATGAATTGCAGGGCATTTAACTTACTGGCCAAAAAATTTCTAAATGACAATTGCTTTTATAGCGTAAACGAATTCATGACATATGCGAGTTCTAACTCCTAACAATTGTGTAGCACTATCCATCATTTTATTTTATTTTATTTTATTTTGTTCAACTAACCACTTTTTTAACTACTAACAAGCTATTTTATCATATATCTAATTTTATTAATTCCTGATTAGTGACCCATGTACTATAATTGTATAAATGGTCAATAAATGAGTATGAGTATGAGTATTCAAGTAAATAGTCAACTGCTTAGTGCTTGTCATGTAATTTAAGTAAAAGTGTTTTCAGTTCAGTGGTCGATAGCCGCACGGTTTAAGGCGTCAGTCCTTTAATCGTGTGCAAATTTCTGCTCGGGTTCGATTCCCGCGGCCGGTAGACCGTATATTAGCTATGCTTGTACGGAGGATTGGCACCCTCTGTGCAGGTATCGTAGGGTGGAAGAATGTTGGCTTGGGTCAATGTGAGAGATTGAAATCAGTTGGCATTTGACCACCCCCCTAATTAATGATGTTTTCCAGGTTTCCCTCATTCCTGCACTGAATGGTGGTTAGGGCGTACCAACATAAGTCGTTCCTGGGCGCAAATGCTTGCCTGCCTAATAATAATATGCCGCCTCCTCTCCCGCACAAGTCTACGACTTATGGGCTAACTCTCGTAGTTAGAATGAGGAGTAGAGATATTATTATTATTATTATAGTTGATTTTTTAAGTTTTACTCAAAAATCAGGCTTTTTTCGAAAAACATAGGAGAGTAGTAATTGAAAGGCGAATCCGAAAATATCATGGTTGTTCCCGTAAAGCAGTAACTTTTTTTAAAAATTATTATTAATATTTTATTTAGAAAAATATGCCACCAATACCCTGTATCTCCGCCACTGGAGAATGTAAATTTTAGGAAATACTCTCAGATTTTGGACAATGTTTACATAAATACATGTGCTCAATTAAAGATTATTTCACTTACTAGTTTTTAAATTATTTAAAAACATTAAAAATATTTTTTGAAGTTACTGTCTTAGTAGGACTATTAATAATTACTCTCTTTTTTAATAAATTAACTCATCGATTACTTTTAGAAGGACAATCTATTGAAATTGTATGAACTATTTTACCTGCAGTTACATTCCTTGTTGACTTTGTATCTTTTTAACGAAGCGTCCTAAATAAAAATTAAAATTCACCAAAGAATACGTATACCATTTGTGAATCACCCTGTATATTATACGCATACATATGTATGGGAAATATTTCTAAATTACAGCAGTTTTGTAAAATGGCAGTCTGATAGAAACGAAGTGGTCGCCTTTTTTTCATATTCAACTAGTTACAATTATTTAATTTATGACAACTGCATCCGGTTTACTAATACGATGCTTTATAAAAGATTTTTTAACCTTCTCTATCCTTCTGATTTTAAACTCATTCATACACGAGCTATGAAGAGTTTCTGAATAATTAAATATAATTTTTGTAAAAATTTAATTTTATGAATTGTATCTGTGATGAGAAAATAGTTAGATTAGACATCTCTTAATATCGCTTTTCAATTTCAAGTTAAAATCGAAATATAAATCTAACATATTTTTTAAATACACACGTAGTTTTCAAAGTTCTTGGTATACTAACTTTTTTAAGGTTTACTCTACAATCAGTCTTTTTTCGAAAAACATGAGAGTGTAGTAATTTATAGAAATTTGAAAGACGAATCCAAAAATATCATGGTTGTTACCGTAAAGCAGTGGTGTGCTATTTTATTTAGAAAAATATCCCACCGATACCCTGTATCTCCGCCTAAATTTTAGAAAAAGACCTCAGATTTTGGACAATATTTACATAAATACACCGTATGTAATAATCCGTAGGAGCTTTTTCTCTAAAAAATAATCGTCTTCAGCGATAAATGCATAAATAATTTCAACAGACTGTATATGTATGATTTTGGGACGTTGTTATGTAAAATATCTTCAAAAGTATACAAGATTTTTTAGCTCAAAAATCGTTAATAAACCAAGAATCTGAAACGATTGATTTCCCAAATGCAGAGTTTTCCTGTCTATATTTGAACAGATGATATGTGATGTAAACTAGTATAGTAAATATTAAAAAGGTAAATATTTTTTCATCTCAGAGTTGGAAAATCTGTTGATGAATTAAATTTCTAACTGTAGTTATCTAAACGAAATATAAACAAATAGATTTTCCGTTATGTTAAATACGAAAATATTAAGTTTATGTCTTTTAGTAGTAGTGCCTTGACTTCAATTTTACAGTAAACATTTACAATACTAATCCAGGATTTATGAGTGCTGGTAACATATTTCAGAATATTGAAGTGAACGCGTTATCTCTCATAAAAATCCAGTACCCTGGATCTCGGAAACCAGTGGCCCAAACCCTTGATTTATAAATATTTTTAATCTAAATTAACATGAGCAAAAACATTTTAAAACTATAACAAGGGTGTAGTTTACAATTATTACTAAGTAAGCTTAGTTTGCAGCAATTGTCAATGATTAGTTGCCACGTTGTCGGTTTAGACTTGTTGATGTTTTGAGACATATTTATTTTTCGGAAGAAATTCTAAAATTGGAGATTAAGTTGTCTGGTCCTTATTTATAGGTTTGCTGGGTGCACTATTTTGTATGCACGATCTGAAGTCACTTGCCTGTGACATTATGCTTACTGTTTTTTTGCGGATAAGTCGTTTCTAAATTCTAGTTGGTTGTTAAGTCCTCATCTTGGTCAAAATTATTGCGATTTTTCTCTAGTCTAAGAGTTTCTTCTGAAGAATAAGGCGAGATGTCTCTCGAAACAGCAAAAAGTCTAAAACGACAATGTAACAACCAGCTCGGAAAAAATTGCTGTTACAACATGACATCTGCAACCTCCATCTCTTCCAAGACACCAACGCAAATTTCCCT